TCCACCTCCCTGGTTCAAGCGATTCTCCTGCCTTAGCATCCCGAGTAGCTGGCTGGGATTACAGGCGTGCACCACCATGCCTGGCTAATTTTTGTATTTTTAGAGACAGAGTTTTGTCACATTGGTCAGGCTGGTCTTGGACTCCTGACCAGGTGATCCACCCGCCTCGACTTCCCAAAGTGCTGGGATTGCAGGCATGAGCCACCGTGCCCACCCAAGGATGTTGCTGTCTGTCTTAGAATTTTGGTTATTTTATCTTTAAAATCGGGGGCCCAACTACATGCTGCCAGTTGTCCCTTTCTAGCTTTGACATTACATGAGTTTAAAGACTTTAATAAATGTGATGCTGTTTTTTTTCCTGGTTAATGAAAGATATCATTATATATTTGGGGTTGGATAATTTCATTGGAATTTAGAATTCTGCACTTAACTTAGGTTTTGGCAGTGAGGAATGAAAGCATTAAATACTTACCTCCTCCTCCCCTGCCATGGTCTAGTATTTTGGGATTCACATTTGCAAACCTGTGTTAGTTACCTATTCCTGTTTAACAAGGAGATACAGGCTTGTTTTACCAAAGGTCAGTATTTAGAGGGCCAGTAGTATGTGCATGAAAGTTTATATTTGAGACCCTGTTGATTTTCTCCAAATTCCACAGAGCGTCTAGAGACTGCCAACAAGCAGCTTGCAGAGAAGGAATATGAGGGGTCAGAGGACACCAGAAAAACCATTTCACAGCTCTTTGCAAAAAGTAAGTGCAAGCTTCAGAAACAGGTATTAATGTGCAGTTGGGAACAAGGTGCATGAAAGATTACACTGTTTTCTTTAGCCTTTTAGAACAGCCAGTGCAGAGTGAGTATCACCTAAGGACTGTTTTTCCTATTCAGGCATGAAGTTGGAAGATTCTGTTCTTTTCCTCCTAAGCCAAGAAGGCTGCTTGCCACAACATCTCGTCACATCACATTGCTCCTTCAGCATTAAACTAGAGAAACCCCTTGAAACCACTGCTAGTGTCATTGCTAGCTGAATAAAGAGCTTTACTGAACATGAGGTCCCTTTGTGTTGAAGGGATTTTCTTAGAAGATTCCACGTGTTGGCTCTGATAGAGATGGCATTAACATGCAGGATTGATGATTAATGTTTGGAATACTTCATCTGTACCTGGGGCTCCCTTTGTTAAGCATCTAGTATTTATTGTTACAGAGCGCAGATTACAAGGGGAGCTACTCCTATGGCCTGAACCAGTGACTCTGGCTACAGAGTTGGAGGATGTGGGGGAGTGCAGAGCTGTGTCTTCCTCATAATAGTGTTTTCTTTGCCTGGAAATACTCCTAGGACCATGACAATGAATTAATCCTCTTTTTTATCAGCCTCTAATGGACCCCACCCAGCTAGACAATGCTTAATTCTTTCCAGTTGCCTTCATAAAACCAGCAATAAAAACTTCATAGTGGATTGAGTCCACAGGGAGAATTAGTTGTGGGGGGGGGGAGGGGAGACGGGAAACAGATGAACTGCTCTCATTTCTGCAAATGCCCATGGTTGGTTTCCTCTACCGCCAGCCTCCCTCAATGTAGCTCTGGCTGTAGTTGTGCTCAGTAGGGATTTGTCAGTTTCTTCCATCTTTGCTAGATCTCCAAATGACCCTTTCAACTCATTCCATGCAGCTTCTAACCAGCTTTTACAAGTTCGTTTGATCTTCACTTACAATACTGCCCTCCCTTCCTGGGTTGTTCTGTTGTGCTCTGGCTTCAGAACAGGTTTTTTCTTCCTCTTTTCCCTGTACCTCCTGTTCCTTTGTCAGTATATCTTAGAGTAAGGAATGTAGTTTTTCTGGTGTCATCAGTACCTAGTATAAATTTTTGTGAAATTGCTTTTGTGGTGTCACAGTGACTCTCAAAGCTAGTTCACTGGCAGAAAGAGAGTGGCAGCCTCTCAGATCGAAACAAATAAAACGTATAGATTCTTTGCTGTGGATCAGCTAGATCATACTCCTCTCTGTATGGAGATGGTATTTCAGGTGTCCTAGGAGCTCTTCTACAGGTTTATAAAATGTGGTAACTTAGTAGATCAGACTGTATTGCCAGGGCAAAAGACTGTCAAATGGCTCTAGGAGGGAAAAGTGAAGTTCACCAACTAGCCAGGGAAGAGGGCATGACTCTTGTCCCTCCTAATTTCTTTTGGCTTTGGACATTGACAGGGCCCTGCATAGTTGGAACTATGGCAGAAGGAAGGAATCCTAGAGAAGCCAAACCAACTCAGCCCTAGGAGAAGGCAGCCTGGTATAGTAGAACCAGTCTGGGCTTAAATAGGGGCTCCACTACTTATTTACCAACTGTGGGACCTTGTGCAAGTTAGTCAAGCTGTCTGGGTCTGTTTTCTCATATGCAAATTTAGAAGAGAATAGTACCTTCCTTGTATGGTTGTTCTGAGGATTAAGTTAGTACAATACCTGGTATGCAATATGTATTCAACAAATGTCCCTTTCTTTCCAAATGCAAAGTCGGAGTGGGAAGGAAGGTGAGGCTGCCCTATTGACTTTTCTCCTGAAACTTAAGGTTTAAGTCTCCAGATGAAGGACTCTTAACCTTCAAGAAATCAAAACTACTTGTTTGAGTTTCTGGTGTGAGGTCTGCCTTAGTTAAGAGGAAGAGGAAAGACATGGAACATAACTACATTTGTCATGGTCCCCTGTAGTTATAATGATTTGATTCAGAAACATGGAATTGCTAATTTTAAAGCTCAGGTGAGTCTCAACCTTTTCATTCTAAAAATTAATGTACAAAATTTGTTGTATCACAATGAAAAGTTTTGAAGCTATAGATTGTCATTATTAATCATGGTGATGATGATCATTATCTGCTTTATGTAGTAAGTTCCTTTGGTGTTTGGTTTGCTTTCTAGCATTTCTTTCACCTAAATCAATCTACTATCTCATTGTATCCTTCAAGTATTGTGAGGTTAAATAAGATGGTATTGTTACCTCTGTTTTACTATCTAGCATTGTTGATTCTTTCTTAACATTTCTGTCTTTCTGCTTATACTGTTGATCTGATCTTGCATACCATCTACTTTTTTCATTAGAGCCCTTAGCATATGAATCATATTTGTTTTAAATTCCCAGTCTGTTAATTCCAGCATCCCTACTTTATCTCGGAGTCTGGTTCTGATGCTTGCCTTGACGTTTCAAACTGTATATTTTACCTTTTAGTATGGCTTTTAGGTTTTTTTGTGTGTATGAGTGTGAAATGGCAGACCTTATGTATGGGGTAAAAGGCATTGTGGTAAAGAGGCCTTTCAGGAGTGATGGTAAAATTTGGGGGAAAGGGAAGTGCTCTAGACCCATGATTAGGTCTCAGTCTTTTAGTGAGCCTGTGCCTCCATATGTCACAAGTGCATCTCAGTTTTTTTTTTTTTTTCACCCCTTTAGGTGATGCAGGATCACTAGAGAGGGCTTCAACTGGGTATTTCCATCTCTCATGTGGAAGGCCAGAGCAGACTGGAGTTGAGGGTTTCCTTTCCCCTGGGTCAGTTAGGCTCCGGAAACAAACAAGCAAACAAAATCCCCCAAACTCATAGATTGGGTTCTGGTTAAATAGTTTCTCTTGGGGGCAGGCCTTGTTAAGAACAGAATACTCTGGCATATTTCATAATGGTTCCTTTTTCCCTCCCCCTGCTGGAAGCACAAGGGGTCCAATTCACTATCAGACATCTACAACTAGGACCAAGCAATGAAATCTTTAAGTGATCATTTGTGAGGAGTGAGAATTACCTCATTGGAATTCAATGATAATCAATTCAGTTGTAATATTCTGATATTCTCATTAGCTGTGGGTACTGGAACAAGGTACGTCCAGCCACTAGAAGAGGGCAGATTGAGATAAGAACCGTATATGGACCAAAGTTTAAAATCTGTTTAGAGACTACTTATAAATCTGTATTAACTTATGCAAATGCTAGCCTGTGATCATGTTCCTTCATTCTCCTAAAAATTATAGTTTTGGCTACTGTCTCATACTGGTGCTTTCTCTCTCTATTTTTCTTATATCCATCCACAGATATTTATTAAATCCTCATTATATAGGCACTGCTCAACTGAGCTCTCTTTAAAACCCCACTAAGCTCTTCCATTCTAAGGTCATAGATTATATCTGTATACACATATACACATACATGCAAGTATAAATATACACACGTTTTTATATATATGCAAGTATACATATATACACATGTTTTGTATATATGTATGTATACACATATATAAATGTGTGTGTGTAAGCACACAAGCATATTGGATTACTTTTGTAAAAAATCTGAACTTTCAAACTCTAATAGCCTTAAAGGTAGAAAGGGAGATTCGCAAATAGAGGATGTTTTTTCAAGTGAAATGGCTGCCTTAAGTGCGCTGATCCTGATGTTTTCCATCTACGTTTGCCCTGTTCTTTCCAGTGCTCCCTCCACACCTATCCCATCCTACCTGAGAAGGAGTAGGATAAAAGCATAGCATGGCTTCCAGTTTTACTGTATTATCTTTTAAAAGACATTGGATTCCCAAAGGAAGCAGATGCTGAGATAAAGTGGGTTGAGTTAGGTTTTCCCTGGAGAGGACATGTTGTCTAGTAGACTTGATCTCAGTTACAAAGCAATGTTAGTGTGTGAAGGGTGGGCTTGAGCTTTTATCCATTTTATGAAATGTAATTTTTAGCTACCTTTAATGTACTGTCATGAAGAAACAATGGGGAAAATGTTTTGAGCTTAATTGCTCTTTTGCCAGTGTAAGACAATTCGGAAGAAATAAAATTGAGGGGATGAGCCTACCTTTTATTCTGAGGTAGGGGTGTGTGTGTGTGTGTGCGCGCGCGTGCGCACGTGTGTGTGCGCATGCGCGCGTGCGTGTGTGTGTGTGTTTGTGTGTGTATTCTTCTTTGTGTAATGCCTAATACTTTTTGGGACATGTTACATCTATTTTCTCATTGCTTCTGCTAAACAGCCATTAAGTTATTAAGTGACTTTTCTGAATTTCTACAGCAATTTAGTGGTAGAGCCAGTGATAGAATCCAGATCTTAGATATACTGGTTCTTCAGCTGTACACCAAAACAGTAGACTGTCTAGTAAAGGGTATGATGTGTCAGTTTTGCTCAGGTAAGGCCTTGAGCCAGCTCCAGGCTGGCAGTGTTAATGTTTAATGTCCTGACAGATAAAGAAAGCCAGCGTGAGAAGGAGAAGCTGGAAGCAGAGCTGGCCACTGCCCGTTCTACCAATGAGGACCAAAGACGACACATTGAAATCCGAGACCAGGCCCTGAGTAATGCCCAGGCCAAGGTGGTAAAGCTGGAAGAAGAGGTATGGTTTCCTCAGGTAGCATGAGCCTGGGGATGGGAGTGCTGGGAAATCAGGGACACTGGGCTCCACATTGTGGTGAATTGGCAGCTGCATAATCCCTAGTAGGGAGGGGCCATCTAATGATCCTAGTTACTACTGTGATGATGTGAGTGGACTTTGATTTCTTTTCTCTTCTTGGTAAACTCTTTTCTTTTGCTCCAAAATAGGAAATCAACAGGGTCAAGAAACAATTTCCTTTTGTTTATTCATATAATAAGCTAACTGCCCTTATACTCCAAGCTCTTACTCTATACCTAGCCCTACCTTAAGCCTATGACAGATATATAAATAGATATAGATGTACAGATATGTTTATGTATAGATGTATATTTTAATTTCTACCCTTAAAGGTATTTTAAAACTTTATAAAACTAGAAAACAATTCTAGGTAGCTTAAAGTACTCTAAGGATTTTAAAATCTGAACAGTCCATGTCTACCCAAGCTTAGTGGGAACTCAGTCCCTTCTCAGGCCAGAAATGATTCTTGCTGGCCATATCTTTTGCTGTTGGACTGACTTGGCAGGTTACTTTAGAATAGAAGCAATCTTGGGAGGTCTGAGGCAGGATGGGACCCAGGGATAGTTTGAAGTTTATGTCAGAAAAAATGCACTGGCCAAAAGCTGTGCTGTGGTTCTCAGAGGCTACTTCTAAAAAACAGTTCTGTAGAAGAATGGACTTGTCAGTTATTTGTGTGCAGAGATGAAGCCTTCCCTGGACAAATGCAAGGGCCCCCCAAACTATTAAGCATATGATTAATGTGTATCTGATTAGGCTTGACAAAGATGCTATTTGATTGTAACACTAAACTGTACTCATGTGGAATAGAGGGAAATTTGCTTCTGGCTTGTCATTAATTCATCCTGGATGTCAGTTGTTATTGCACTGGAGTACTAACTCTTAGATGTTTTGCCCTTCAGGGTATCGGTGTGTTCCAGCAAAAATTGAAGCTAAAGTGTAACTTGGTAAAGAAAATGTTGTATCTCAGAGACTCCTATTCTGAAATTTGAATTGTTTTAGGGGAAAAAATAGCCTCCATCATAACAAGTTGAAAAATGTACAGATTTGAAACAAAAGAAAATTATTAGCATTTAAATAGTATTCTGGCTATTATATATGAGGTATCTTTCCTGCCTTCATTTGTTGCCTGCTTCCTCTCCCTCAGTAAGAATAAGTCTAGTTCCTGGAGATTTCCCAACTTACCAATTTCTTCTGCTTTCTTTTTTTGATATTAAAATGCTTGTTGGAGTTGGCCTGTAAATTCACACTTTACCAGTAGGTAGTGCCATCTAATTCATGATATCCCTTAGCCCGACTTGCTAAAATATCCGTAGTATAAAATCAGGTTAATGTCTTGCTTCATCAGTTGTCTACATCAGAACTATGCTAAGTTGCTTAACAGAAAATGAGGAATACTTGTATTTACCTGTTATCTAGATTTAAGGAGCTTAGCGCATCCTTTTGCTTTACCTCATATGTTTCTTTCCCTCACATTTTTGCGAGGACATTCCAGAGAAAATTATAGGATGGGATAAGACTGGACATTTTTAGAGATGGGCAAACTAAGAGACCTGCTGAGAAGAAGTGACTTGCTGGTGGTCACGTGGCCATCTTGGGTAGAGCCAGAAATAAAACTGGTATCTCATGACTCTTCATTCCCTAAACCCTGCTGCCTTTCTCCCTGTCTGAATCATCCTTTGGTTCACCTCCCAAAAGGAAAATGTGGGTGCTTGTTCAGATTTAGTAACCTCTGCATCTTTTAAGTTTTTAAAAAATTGCTTCGCTCGTTAGGCCTTTCTTTTCAACAGACTATGAGACACTTGTCCAGATTGCTTCAAGATTAGGGTGTACAGAGAGTCCTGCTATCCCTTCAGGAAGGGTGCTCAGCCAGTTGGAGATAAATAGGGACAGAGTGTCTGCAACCATTTTTCTTTGCAACATCTGAGGGCACAGTGGTTACTGGTTGTTTTAAAATAATGAAAATAATATATGTGTTGGGAGAAAATGTTCATCTCTAGTTCCCACTGTGCAGCCCTTGCTGAAAAGGTTGCCTGAAATATATTCCTGGCTTCAAACTTCTGAGGCTTTTCTGGGCATTAGTCCTAGAGATTTTTAGTAGTTTTCCAGGGCCCTCCCCAAAATATGTAGCTTTACACTCTAAAGAAGTTCTAAAAATTGAGCTGGGATTGAATGATGGCATCTGTCTCAAATGAGCTCATCGATTATTGTTAAGTTTTTAGTCCTTATCCAACTTGTGCTTTCACATGGAGTCTAATCATTAGGAAATTCTGAGTTGCTCTTGTTAAAGGAGGTGAAACCTTTGACTGGGAGACCATGTTTACCACCTTCTACCCAGCGGAATCTCAGAGGCCATGTAATGTCTTCAGACTTTCAAGCCGGCTCACTTCTAGCACATATAAAGGCTTGGAAGACCACATTTCAGAGAAAATCAACTGGTTCTTATTTCCCTTTTTGTTGTAGCAGCCTCTCAGAGCTGGATTTGCTCCTGGGAGCTGTTTGTCGTGTCTTTTCTATACTGTTCAAAGGAAAACATTCCTTTTGCATATTATCCTTAAATATAGGAATTGCTAATTATAGTTTTGCTTTTCTGCTGTGACTCAATCTTCATTAGGTTTTGCTCTTTTGGGGCTGAAATTTCAGTTTGGAACATCAGGGAGGTATTTGAGGTAAACAAGTAGTTCTGGAACACATCTGGGAAGGAGTCTTCACTGTGATTGCTTGACAAAATCATTGAACATTTCTAAACCAAGAAGGATATTCATGAATGGAAGAGTTATCCTTCTGTCTGTTGGAAATGGCTCAAGTAAGGCTGTGTTTGAAGGCAGATGGATATGTTAGATGACCTGCCTATGTTCCATATAAACAGATAATTTAGTGATGGCTTACAAATGGCATCATGAACTTTCCTTTATTCTCAGGCCTTAGAAGTTCTTCCACGGAAAACCTCTCTAGCCTATTTAGCAAATCAAAATTAGGGACACTTTCTCAGATTAGACCTTTTGTCAGGAGACTATTTCTCAGCTTTCTAAGAATAAGATCACTCAGGTAACTACTTCTCATTGCATCAAGGTGGTCAGGGAAAGGTTATGACTAATGGCTAGAGGACTCTTGCATTTATTTATGTCTTTCTCTTTGCAAAGATCTCATTTAGATGCTTTTCCTGAAATTCATTCCTTCTTGCTAATCCCTTAAAGTCTCTTGCCTGAGGTTCTCTAAAATCACTGTGCTCTAAACTCCACATGGAAATGTTGCCTCAGGTTTACAAAGAACGTTCTCCCTCCTGCAATCACAGCTTCCATTTGCCCCCAAGTTCAGTGCATTCTTTCATGGATCTCGCTCTGCTGACATCCAGGAAAGTATCTTCCTGGGGAGGGGATAGCACTGTAATTGTAAATCAGACCTGTTTTCTTGGTAAGTCACTCTTATCCAAGCCTTGAACCAGCATGTACCCTGTGTTCCTATTGCAGCAGCAGCGGAACGAGGTAAATGGTGCCTTTCCATCCTTGCCCTTATCTTTCGGGACACGTAGGTCCTATTGAAGGGAAGGCTCATTAAACTCCAAGTCAAAAGAGCCCTGTGTCCTACAGCAACCACGGTATTCTCCCATTCAAAGACAGCCTCCCCACCCCCTACCAATTTGACCTCTCTGGAGAGTTTCAACGGATGCCTGGCATATCCTCTCACAAGGCTCAAGGCAGCCCAGGCTTCTGGCTGGCTGCTGTCTTATGATGATCCGGAGTGGAAGCGGCTTGGGTAATTGTTTCAGGGATGGTGGGAAAAAGGCCTTGGCAAGATCAAAGAGGGAAGATGCTGCGGGTGGGCTGCTTACTGAGCTGAGTGCACAGGAAGGGAGAGTGTGGAATGTGAGAGGGCTGGCAGAGAGAGCCAGTAAGCCTTGTTCTTTGGCTTTCGGCTAAAATGAAAGCCATAGAGATTCAACAAGAAGGGGCCCAAATGTTAACCTTTTCTGAACCGTAGTGGCTAGTGGTGATTTAGATGTCACATTGATAGCTAGTATTGGACTACCCAGTGCATTTTCTAGAGTCCTGTCGCCATTCTACTCAATTCTGTAAAACCAAATTCATACTGTTTTACTTTATTTCCACCATTGTTCTTGAGGGCTAATATTTTCCGTTCTTTCTAGATCCCCTTCTACTTATTTGAGATACATAATTTTCTGCTACCACACCTATCCACAAACTATCATAACCAATTTCCTCCTTCCCTGATATTAGAGGAAGATGTCATAGACATAGATGTTTATATGTCTAATACTTCAAAATAATTTTCAAACAACAATAGGATTTTATTGGTGAAGGTAAATCTTACCCAGTAATTATGATGGATTATAGATTTGGATGGAAGATCCAAGGATATGAATTATGTGTGCATTTAGAGTGTTGATAGGATACAGGTAAAATACATATCCACCCAGGAATCTTCCAAGGTGTTCTGCTGGTGCATTACTGATTTATTTGAAGGGCATTTTATCTAAGGATGACATTCTCCTTATTTATCTCAGTGTATTTGCTTTTCTTTTCTTTTCTTTTTTTTCTTTGAGATGGAGTCTCACTTTGTTGCCCAGGCTGGAGAGCAGTGGCGTGATCTCGGCTCACTGCAACCTCTGCCTCCTGGGTTCCAGTGAGTCTCTTGCTTCAGCCTCCCAGGTAACTGGGACTACAATCATGTGCCACCATGCCCGGCTAATGTTTTGTATTTAGTAGAGACAGGGTTTCACCATGTTGGCCAGGCTGGTCTCAAACTCCAGACTTCAAGTGATCTACTCTCCTCTGCCTCCCAAGTGCTGGGATTACAGGTATGAGCCACCGCGTCTGGTCGAATTTACTTTTAAGTAGGTGTTTTTCTACCCAATGTGTTAAAAGAAAGAAATTATGTCTACCCCCAAATAGAGATGGAGTGACCTCTTTGAGCTCAATTCTTTA